CAGCATATCACTTTAGCTCCATCTGCGGGGAATCAAGGGACTAGTCCCTCCAGGCCTGGCTGCTGCCCAGAGAACAGGGCCACAGCACCAACTATAGAGCAGATGGTCTTGGCCGCCTCAGCTCCTGGCCCCACACCTCGGCAGGAACCAAGGTCCCCAGATGATAAGCTCTCTTGGCCGCTATTCTAACCCTGCAGAGGCAGCCCTCCCTCTCCCCAGTAGGCCAGCCTCACCAGACAGCTGGGCAATAGATAGGTGGGGGAGACTTGGCACCTGGGGCATCTCCACTGTCTTCAGATGCTTCCCCAGGCCTTTGGGACCCGTGGCTTCATTTCTTGGAGCCTGGCTGAGATTTGACAGAACCGATGCTGACCCATTGGGAAATTCAGACAGGTACCTGCTTGCCTTTACAGCACAAAGCCTTGTGACTGCCAGGTGCCCCACGCCAGACACCAGCCTCAGGCCCTAAAGAGTTTGACTGAGGTGTTTAGCATGTTTGGTAACACACACAAACTGCGTAACTCCTGGAATCAGACTATCACACACAGTAGGCCTGAAAACTATTCTTGCTCTTCTCTCTCGGCCCCCTTACTTCCCCTGCCCTCTAGTTCCACTCTCCCTCTTGGCATTCCTGGCTTGGCTCATACCCCATTCACTCAGTTCTCTACCCAGAAATCTGGGCATCATCTTAGATTCCTTCTCCTTTCACCGTCTGTGAGCAGTCAGTCTATCTACCTCCTGAATAGTTCCCAAATTCATCCACGGTTCTCCATCCCCCTGTCACTACCCCAGTGCCGGCCTCTTGCCTAAAATGCTAAAATCATCCCTTTTTCTGTAATGGGGCAAATAGTAAATATTTGAGGCTCTGTGATGTAGGTATTTCTGTATTATAGTCTCTGTCGCAGCTCTTCAACTATGCCATGATAGCCAAAAGCAGCCATAAACTATACATAAGTGAATGAACCTGGCTGTGTTCCAATAAAACTTTATTTGAATTTCACTGAGATTTGAATTTTATATCATTTTCATGTGTCACAAAATATGATTCTTCTTTTGATTTCCTTTTCAGACATTTAAAACTGCAAAACCCATTCTTAGTTCACAGTGGATACAAAACTAGGCCCCCAGCCACAGTCTGCCACCCCTGCCTTAACTCCCACCCATTCTCCATGCTTCAGCCAATGCAGTTTTGCCAAAACCTAGATCTCATGCTGGCAGTCCCTTGCTTACCACGAGTCCATAGCTTGAGATAAAAATGCAAGCTCCTCAGCTTCCAAAAACCTTCCATTCAGCCCTACGTACTTCTTCAGCCTCATTTGTGGTCCCTCGGGATCAGCAAAGCACTGGCTGCATTGTGGCATAGTGGACAGTAAATGATCATTTTATTGTTGCCGCCTTGGACAACAGAAGCAGTGAGATTCCCACTAGCATTCTGCCCCTTCTGACACGTGAACAAACTCTCCTTTTGAATCTTGAAAATCCTTCAAGATGGATGTTGCTGGCCCTGTGATATAATAAGAAATATGTATTTGGGTTTTGTCTCAGTTCCTGACACAGAACTTCCAAAACCCTTAGACTTTCCTGAGTGAGATGGAGGTCAGAGGAGCATCTTTTCTTATGCACAATAAACCCCTTTTAACCATATGCTACTGAGGTGATGACTCCTGGTGTGTGTGTGGGGGGGATGCCTAGATAGCTTCAGGTGGGAAGCTGGTTGTCAGAGGAACCAACTGCTGGTGACTAGAGGGTTGGAACTTTCAGCGCCACCTCTGACTTCCAGGGAGAGGAGGGGGCTGCAGATTGAGTTCAATCACTAATGGCTAATGATTTCATCCATTATGCCTACTAAATGGAATCTCCATAAAAACCCCTACTGGGCAGAGTTCTGAGAGCTGCCAGGTCCGTGTTTGGCCCACCCTGAGCTGTATCCTCTATACTAAACTGGTAAGAGTAAGTAAGCAAAGCACTTTCCTGAGTCCTGCGAGTCATC